CTCAAATAAATGTTAGTCTTTAAAGTGCCACAAGTACTCCTTTTCTTTTTAAAGTTTTCTGGTCCCTAAGCAACCAACAGCTTCCAGCTCTGTGATTGATTAATCATTATCTGTCATCACGAGGTCCAAGATAATTGCCTTGTGTTGAATGCAATACCTTTAGTGTTAGAAAATGATGTATAATTTTTAGAAATTCTAATGATGTTTTACTTCTGGCTACATGAGACCTCCAGCATGTCTCCAAAAGTAAAGTCCCCCATAATATCACAAGTTTTCTTTCCACACATTACAGACAACAGGTGTTTAAGGAGCAATTCATTCTATTCTCTAGTTTGATTTGGTGGTCTGAAACTTACCCAAGCTAGTAACCCCTCCTGGGCTTTGTTAGTTAGCTCATTGGTCCATATGCATTCAAGACTCTGTAATTCTGAGTTATCAGTAAGTATAAAACAAGTAAGTTCTCTGCCATTATTCTTGTTTTAGCATATTTACTCCATTATTTTTAATACTAAAATAGAGAATCTATTTTGGGGGACACTTTTGCCCCTTTTTATTGCTTATCAGTGTTTTTAAATGTATCTATATAAAAATAAAAATGTGTCTTGAAAACTTATTCAGCTTTATTTTTACATAATAAAAACTACTTGACTTTGAGTTAAATTGGCCATGATTTCTTGTGTTCATAAATTACTGTAGTTCAATCATCTCTAAGAAGACTAATGCTTTTCTCCAAGAAGTCATTTTTATATAAATGGAGTCTTATCTTTTCACTGAATGAGTGGGAGAGGAATACACACAGAGGGCCAAGTTCTGTGGCAATGTTGAAGTGAGACTATAGCAGGAAAAGCAGGTATAGGGGATATGCTTTATCTTGCACCCTTGTGTTGCTTTGGGTGCAATCACCTTGTAACTTATACTGGTTTCACATACCTATTGAATGTAGAGTGGGTATAAGTTATGCTACAGTTTTGCCCATTTTCTGACCAACTTACAAAACCATCTTTTCCACCACAGAATTTGGCCCTCTTTGACAGTTGCATCTAATTAATACCAGATCTGGATATTGCTGTGCTACACAATTCTTTTATGGTTTGATATGGGTATGATTTATACAAATCTCAAGGCTCTGGGTGCTTTTGCCATATTAAAACCTACAATCACACTGATAAAACAAAAATTCCTAACTCTTCAAAACCAGGGAAAGGGAAGGTGGATGTGCTCCAGCCACAGATCCCAGCCCTTCAGTCACACATTCCAGCTTTCCGCTCACCTTCCTCAAAAGCCTGGAGAAAGAGAGGTTATGCAGCATGCCCTGAAGATCAATAGACTTTTGGGCTATTTTGGACCAAGGTTCCAAAGTTCAGGGCCCCTCACAGAGAATACCCTGTCAGCAGCTCCTTCTCTTTCAAACTAAGGGAACTCCAGCCCTGGCACCTCTGCCAGCTGCAGCAATGCAGCATGGGAAGAGGCAGTTTCTCAAACAGGTAAGTCCTAAGTCACTTGGTGCTTTGTATGAAAAATCCAGTATCTTGAACTCCACTCAAAGTCAGGAGGTAGCCATAGCACATCTCAGAGCACTGGCAACTTATGCTCCTGGCAAAAAAACTCCACTTAACAGACATATTATGTTAGCATATTTCAGTTTCTATCTTGATTCAGAAGAAGATGCACAGTTAACAATATAACATTTTTGAGAATGAGCACAATTGTAAACATTCTCTGCTCTTTTAAAATGTTTGCAATGATAATGTCCTTAGTTAATAAACTTGATTTGTGCTTCAAAAGAAACATTTAATAAAACTGTAATAAGGGGAAACTTTGTGCTGTACCCATCCAGTTAATGCATTTTCTTTTTAACTATAGTATGTACACAGTTTAAAGGTCTGTAAGACAATGATTAGACTAAACAACTTCTTATACTCTGACTCATCAGAAGTATCTGTGTCTGGGATGGCCTGGTGCTCTAGGTTATCCTGGGGGTTAAAATTAAAGGTTAGCTCAGTCTTTAGCACCCATTACTGGATAACTAATGTGATACTGATTTTTAAAAAAAAGTCTCCAGAGGCAATCAGAAGCCGGTAAGCCTAACTTCAATATCAGGCAAATTGGCTGAAACTACAGCAAAGAACAGAATGATCAGACATACAGATGAACACAGCATCTTGAGGAAGATGTTTTTTGTAAAGGGAAATCATGCCTCACCAATCTGTTAGAATTCATTGTGGGGGTCAAAAAGCATGTGGACATGGGTGATCCAGTGGACATAGTGTACTTTGATTTTCAGAAAGCCTTTGACAAGGTCTCCACACCCCTGGCTCTTAAGCAAAGTCAGCAATCATGCTATAGGAGGGAAGGTCCTCTCATGTTTACAAGGTAGAAAACAAAGGGTAGGAATAGATGGTCAGTTTTCACAGTGGAGAGAGGTAAATAGCAGGGTCCCCCAAGGACCTGCAGTGGGACCAGTGCTGATGAACCTATTCATAAATGAGCCAGAAAAAGGGGCAAACAGTGAGGTGGCAAAGTTTGCAGATGATACAGAATTATTCATGATAGTTAAGTCCAAAACTGACTGCAAAGAGTTAACAAAAGGAGCTCACAAAACTGGGTGACTAGGCAAGAAAATGGCAGATGAAATTCAGTGTTGATAAATGCAAATTAATGCACATTAGAAAATATAATCCCAACTGTACATACAAAATGATGGGGTCTAAATTAGCTATTGACTCCAAGATCTTTTTCTTGAGTGGTGTCATGGTTAGTTCTCGGAAAACATCAGTTCACTGTGCAGCGGCAGTCAAAAAAGCTAACATAATGTTAGGAACTATTGGGAAAGGGATAAATAAGAAGACAGAAAATACCATAATGCTGCTATGTAAGTCCATGGTATGACCACGCCTTGAATACTGCATGCAGTTCTGGTTGCCACATCTCAAAAAAGTTGCATTAGAATTGGAGACAGTACAGAGAAGGGCAGCAAAAAAGATTAGGGGTATGGAACAGCTTCCATGTGAGGAGAGCTTAAAATGCTGGGGCTGTTCATCTTGGGAAAGAGACAACTGAGGGGGATATGACACAGGTGTGAATGGTGTAGAGAAAGTGAATAAGGAAATGTTATTTGCCCCTACACACAAACCAAGAGTCATCCAATGAAATTAATAGGCTGCAGATTTAAAAAAAAAAAAATAAGGAAGTACTTCACACAATGCACAGTCAACCTGTGAAACTTGTTGCCAGGGGATGTTGTGAAGGCCAAAATTATAACAGGGTTCAAAAAAGAATTAGATAAGGTCATGTAGGACAGGTCCATCAATAGCTATTAGCCAAAGATGGTCAGATACGCAACCCCATACTCTGGCTGTCCCTACACCTCTGACTACCAGAAGCTGGGAGTGGATGACAGGGTATGGATCACAGAATAAATTGCACTGTTCTCTTCTGGAACCAGCCACTGTTGAAAGACAGGTTTCAGAGTAGCAGCCATGTTAGTCTGTATCCACAAAAAAGAAAAGGAGGACTTATGGCACCTTAGAGACTCACAAAGTTATTTGAGCATAAGCTTTTGTGATGAAGTGAGCTGTAGCTCACGAAAGCTTATGCTCAAATAAATTTGTTCGTCTCTAAGGTGCCACAAGTCCTCCTTTTCTTTTTGTTGAAAGACAGGTTACTGGGCTAGGTGGGCCATTGGTCTGACCCTGTGTAGCCGTTCTTGGCCAAGCAAGCAGAAGCTGAGAAAGCAGCTGAGGTGATACTTGTACTTACTGGTGAAGATTTGATCTGCTACACAAATATCCCCTTTGATTCATGTTTAGGAACAGCTCTTGCATTTCAAGGACAGTCTGTCTGTTTCCTCAGTATGGAATAATGCCCCGAGAGCATCACCAGAGAATTTGCGTGCCATCTGGATGTGTATTTGGTGAAAAAGTAGTTGAGCACACCTTGTCTGACAAGAGGAATGCCTCAAAGAGGGTGGGGCAAGGAGTGGAATAATGGAGATGTTTTCATTATGGCTTTTTAACAATACCTGGGCTTAAAGCTCTGTGCCTCTTTATCATGAATGTTATCTATCTGGATTTGTTTTCCTGGGGAGGGCTTGAGCTGGCAGGCAATATGAGGATGGATGTTGGATGGATGGACAAAGAATTGTGCGTCTTCACTATATGTCTGCTCATTTGCATGTCAGCCAGTAAACTCAAAGCATTTTAGGATTAAAATAAATTTCTTTATTAAACTAAAATAAATCCGATCTTGCTCACCTCTTGCTATTGAATTGAGAATGTTACATTTGTTAATGCCATAAATATACTGTTAAAAAGGTCAAATTATACAGAGCTCATTATTGCTGAGCTTATTCTAGAAAGGACAAATTAAGCTGATTGTTTATTTATTAATTCTTAAAATTGTATTAAAATATATTTTAGGGTCTGCCAAACTCATTAGGGAGACTGTTAAAGTTGCCAGGTTCAAAATGTGACTTCTTTCCCTCTAATCCCCAAAATACATATAATCTTTTGGGACCCTTCCAAGCAAGAGAATGTTTTATGGATATTTATTAATTAATGTTAATACTGCCAATAGCAAAGCACACAATCATGATGAACACTGTACGGCAAAAAAAAAAAAAGTGTTTGCCTATTATTGGAGGAATAAAATCTTTATATAAAAAGACTAATTTTAAATTTCAAGATTCCAAAGAGGAATTATAAATAGTGGGGAAAATGGATCGTAAAAAGGAAAAGTATATACCTTGACCCTATATAATTGGTTCTCAAAACTTCCATGCTTTGAAAAATGGCCATTTATGTAAATACCTAATTGAACGAAATATTACATGTTTGCAAAGTATCTCATTTTTAGTCTGGTCCCAGGATATTATGTGACTTCATTCAGATGTTCTTATATAACTGTGTCTAATTCATAATAAAATGTAGAAATAAGTCAAAAAACTGTAAATCCTGTGGTACAGAAAATACAACTTGAAGACTCTTTCTTTGGTTTTGCAGTGTTCCTGTTCCTGTAGTCAGTCTAGAGAAAATTCCTAACCTAGTGAAGGCAGATGGTGCCAATGTTAAAATGAATTCTACAACCGCCACCACCATCACCTCCTCCTCAGCCTCTTCATCCACCATACCTGCTCCAACTTTGATTAAATCTGCTTTGACATCTAAGTCAGTGCCACCATCTCCAGAAAAGATTCTGAACGGCAAAGGAATTCTAGCTCCTTCAATAGACAAGAAACACCAAAACGGCACTAAAAGCAGTAACAAGCCTTACAAAAGACTTTCAGGTGAGTGATATTGTACTGCGCCTTTTGAGATAGTCCATCATTCTTCATTAATAATTTTTGTAGCTGAGGAGTAATATATTGTAATATGCTATAGCTATGTTTTACTGTAAGATGCTGTTTTTAATATGAATAGTTAGCCTGCAAGCCCTTGCCATATGGATAAAATATTTCCTTAATAAAATACAAGTTCATTTTGCCTTAGAATTAACCTTGGTGGTTAACTATTTGTCCTCAGTTGACCAGCAGATAAAATGTAGACTATCTAGGGAATAAATGCAGTAAAATAAAAGGGCAACAGGCTCTCCCTTTTTAATTTATTTTTAGCCATATTGAACAAATTTGCTGCAAACCAGTGTAGTAATGATCAACTTACCAAGATTTAGTATTGTTCTTCAGTCACTCCAATTGAATACTTGAGATTTGAGTTATTAATGTATATCTTGTAGCTGAGGGCCCATGCTGCCAGGTGGCTATAATTCATAAAGTTGTGTGTAAAAAAGCAAAAAATGTCTGAGAACTTAAATATTGGACAGTAACAGACTGTGAATCACAGTGATGGTTGAACCTGGTGATATTCTAAACAGAAAAAGCTCTCTACCTTGCTTGAAGCTGTTTCCATCACTTCACACTGACACAACAGACATCGAAGGGCTTCAGAGTGGGGTTATTGTGTGTGCTGGTTTTGTCGTTGGGTGGGGGATTGTGTTAATTTGTGTGTGGGTTGTGTTGTGCTGGGAGAGCTGCGTGGATTTGTTTGAGTGGAAAGTGAGAGGTGTATGCTCTGACAAGAGGCTATGTGAGTTTGGGGTAGTTGTGTGTGCTGGTTATGTTGTTGTGTGAGTGGTGTTGATTTGTGCCGGTGACAGTTGGGTGCATGGGTGTGGCAGTTGGGCCACATAATCTGTGTAGTGTCCCTCATTCAGCCAATGAAAATGTGCATGCAAATTAGCTACAGAGTAAGGGTGGTGATTGGTTGAGTTACCTCTGGTATCACAATGGTCTGAGTCTCTTGACATGGCATAGATACATGCCTTCTCTAGTTGTACACTGCACAGGTGTAATTTGTAAAGTCAGAATGGCTGAGAACTTAAAAACTGGACCGTAACAGGGTGCAAAACCCAGTGATGATTCACCCTGTTAATAATCCGAAGAAAAAGAGCTCTCAGCCACGTTTCTAGCTGCTTCCATCGCTTTATACTGACTCAACAGACATTTTAGGCTTCAAAATGACTCACATGACATTCCTGGACTCTTATTATATACATGTGGTTAGTTCAACTGAGAAACATAACTTCTGCCACTTGCAAGGTGTCCATTGGATGTGCCATCAGTAAGTGTCTTTCATGTTAAACATCATGCCTGTACGAATGAATGAGCTTTTCAGGGATATTGTTATGTGGCTCCAGTGTGTTAGTTGTGTAGCTGTGCAATACAGTTACTCATCTTAGTCTCAGGAAATGCATACAATTTTGCATTGTTATACCTTTAAAAGGGACAAAAACTTAGAGTATATGCTGTGTACAACATTCTGTTTTTAATTTTGGTAAGGAGGCAGTATGATACAAAAACGTCACCCTAATCTGATGGGACTTCACCCTATCACACTGTAAAATAATTTTTAAGCTTTTATTTTTTCTTAAATATCAGGAAATACTACACAGATTTAGGGAAGAGACACTGGTGCTAGGTAAATCTTGTCTCTCATTTCTTCTTCCACCACAAGTGAAGAGGGCTGCACATGTGTACATTCACACACAGAGAGCAAAACTGGGGTCTGGTTTCTCTTAATGGGGAGGAGGAGGTAGGATTTGGGGAGGCTGCACAATCTGTGATCATGACCTGCACAATCTTATCTGTGGTGAGAAGGCAGAATATGGGCCTGTTGATCTGTCACTTTGCAGATCCACCAACGGAGCAAGAGGATAAGCATCATGGAAGAAACTGGAGCTCAAGAATGCAGTAGCAATTACAAAGTGCCCACTGCTTTACAGCCAGAGGGGAGGATTTTTCCCCAGAGCTGAGCCAGGCCAGTTGCAGGACTCTGGGCAGAGAATTTGCTGCCAAAAGCAGAAAATACATTTTTGTTCTGAATGAAGGAAAACAAAATGTCTGAGTTAGGTTTTCCAGCAAAAGTAACTGAATCAGGTTTACTGCATCAGAAGCTGCATAGGGCCTATTCATCCACTGGCAGCACACTGAGATTCGGGCAGGAAATTTCTTGTGTGAATTGAAAGTCTGATCTTCCTATTGGCAGTGCTATACAGATTAGGCTGTGCGCTTGATAGAAAGTTAATTGATTCTGTTTCCCAAACGTGTGTTGTGACACCACTGATTAGTTATAAAATAATTTATAAAGGTGAATGCTATTATTTGTAATTGAGTTTAAAGTATAACCCAGGTTTTTGTAGACTGAATAACGTTGTTGTTTTTTTAATTTTCTCACATTTGGCAGTTAGTATTATGGCCTTGTTAGAATGGCTTGACTCCAAAACAGTGCAAGGTGTGTTTTCTAAGACTGTGTGTGGTATGGAACAGTGCCATTGCGCTAAAGCATTTAGTATGGTGTCTTCTTTCTTAACTAGTTAAAGGTGCCTCACAGGAAACCTTTTTTTCCTAAGGTTTTGCAGGTGACCATACCAAAATTCAACAAAGCTGAAAGTACTTAGCATAAATGACTCATTTATCTTTTTTCATCTAACGTTTCATTTACTAGGATCTAATTTATGATTCCAATGAACAAATACAGGGCATTGTGTTCTACCAGAAAACAGTTTAAGATACCAGTGGAAAGAATGGTTTAAGGAAACATTAAAATTTTTAGGAGCTTAAGTTCAAAATTCAGCTTAGATCTCTCTTCCCTGGACAATGGGAGCTCGTCTTCACTGCATTGTTAGCTCAAGCTGTGACTCAGGTTTTGCCCCTAAGTAGACAACAGGACAGACACACTGTATCTGTAGCTCAAGTTAAGTGGTGCTTTAAGCTCAGGCTAGCTGGTCTGTAAGGGGGCTGCATTGAAACTCAAATGCTGCTGATGCTCAAGCAAGTAATGCGGTGGGGATGCAGCAGCTCACAACTCATCTGTTAATCTGATCACTCTGTGTAGCTCGAGTGCTGTTTTGCAGTGTGGTTGCTCTCACGCCACTCTCACTTGACCTAGGCTAGCTCCAGGGGAGTAACTCGAGTGTGCTAATTCAAGCTAATTCTTGCAGTGAAAACAAGCGCTAGCTGATGGGCTCAGTCTTCAAACTACCAGCCTTGCTCCACAGACGACTGTAGGGGTTGTATACACTGATGTTGTATTTATAAATATTTACTGTATATGCAACAGTCATTAGAGTGACTAATTACTCTGAAGAAGTCATCACAGTATGGGGCCTTCTTTCATATGGCTTAACTAGGGCTAGAGTAGTTCCACACTGGCACTGACTCAGCAAATTTTGCCAGTTCACCATATCGGCCAATATATGAAAATTTGCTTGGGGGAAATCTCCAAATAGGCTAGGACTCTGTCGTAGTACTTTGTGGTCATTCTGGTGGATGTTAAGCTATTTTTTCACATGAATATCTTGATTGCCAGAGCCACAAAACTGATAGTTTTCAGGTTGTTCTTTAAAGATCTGTTCTGTTACCAGACCTAGAATCCACTAAATCCTGCCTTCTCTGCCCCACTTATTGATGCAGCACCATGATACAGTTTGTGATTGTTCATCACAATGAGGCAAGTAAAGTAAGTTGTGAGAACATGTAAATGTTTTATACAGGTTGTCCGTCAACGCGGTTGGTTTCCCACCATTATTACACACAATTTGGCACAGGCTGAGCTGAAGATCTGAGGGTTAGTAAAAGATTCTTTGGAATATACCCAGGACTTAATATACTTGTTTTACACACTAAGTGGGCAGGGTAATTTTTAGGTTCATCTCAGTCTCTTGCTGCAGAAGTGGAGCCAGTCATCTCAGTCCCGGCAATGGACTTAAACTGGTTTATATCAGTTTTACTTCCTTCTCACAGCCCTGCCCTCTATCTTTACCCTACATCCTTGAGTGAGGCTAAAGCTCTTTCTATGGCTGAAGGCTGGTTCTTGTTGGGGATGGTCAGGGATGCTGCCCTCCTCCCTGTGACAAAGTCTGAGCAGGGAGAGAGGTCGCCCGCCTAGAGAGCTGCGAGAGGCAGTCTCAGGGATCAGTGTCCCCTAGCAGCAAACTGGAAGAACTGAATCTGGAAAAAATAGCCTTTTTCCATTCTAAATCCCATTTATGGACAAAGCTAAAGAACTGGAAGCCCCATCTAGATAGGACTATCTGCTGATTTGCAAGCTGTGGCTATAGGTTGTAGCGTTTACTATAGGTTGTAGCGTTTACTCCCTCCTCTTCGTTCTGCCAAGACTATAATGTTGCTCTAAGCCACCCACTGCAGCTGCTCCAGAGAAATGCTTGCACTCTGCCATTTTGGAGGATCAGTGTGTCAACCCTGCAGCATGCTCAGGCTATGCCAGTGCAGATCTGTGACAATCCAAGGTCACATTTACAACTGGGACTCTGACCTGACATAATGGATACTCTTACTCTCTGGGAATCCAAGAGCTCTGTTTTTATCATTGCTTAGCAAGAAGGTGGTGATCTTTCCTCTTAGACATGGACTTCACCATAGAGCAGTTTGGTGTACATGGCTACTCTTGGAAAGATTGCTCAACTACAAGAATCTGTGGTTTACCTGCTTACTTAGCAGTGTTCCTTGCACAGAGTATATTATGTCATTGCTCTGTGGGTCATACAGGCTTCCAGTTTTTCTGGCTGCAAATCAGGATGTTGGCTCATATCTTTAAAGCCCTGCATAGTTTGGGACCTAGCTGTCTTAGGAACTGCCTTTTTCCTCATACTCCATCCTAGTAGTTTTTGATCAGTCAGGATTTTCTGACAGTTCCCAGTTTTGTGTGTTCCTGAGGCTGGAGGGCAAATGTTTTTAGTGGAGCACTCTTGGTTGTTGAATTTGCTTTCATGTTGGTCCTACAGTCTGAGCTTATGGGTGTTCAGGGCATATAGCAAGGCTTGTCCATTCACTCCATCTTTCTCTTGTCGTTCTTTTTAGTTACAGTTTTGTCAGTATAGTTTGTTTTAATTTTGGGGGGCAAAGGAGGAGATTATGTAAATGAACCTAGAACAACACATTATATACATTTAACAGCATAACTTAAATAATTGACTCATACAATTGTCCTGTGAACATACATTTTGATGTATTAAGTATTTCTGTAGTTTCATCTTTAGTGTACACGCAAGCCCTTTAGTGTCTGCTATGCGTCAAGGGCCACAGCAGCATCTACTACTCAGGACAGATTTCATTGCCATTGTAGTTTTCCAATAGTGATGGTGCTGACCACCATTTCAGGTGTATGCACCTGCTCTGAATGCCTTGTTATCCCCTCTTTCTGCCATGTCCCTTTATCCAAGGGTCAACAACACAAATACTAATTTAACATTTTGTTTATAATTAAGTTCTAAAAAATATGTATAACTCAGTACTCAGATCTGTCGGTCACTAGTACATCTAGGAAGTAAGTGTTGTCTACCTATTGCAAGTAGTTGGAGTCAGAAATCAGATTCTACTCCCAGCTCTGCCACTGACATGCTGTATGACCTTAAGCAAGTCCCCTAACTTCATTGTGTGCCTCGGTTTACCCATCTTTAAAATGGGGATAATAATTCATACCCTGTCTCAGCAGGGATGTTGAGATTTATTGTTTGTAAAGCATTTTTGGATCTTAAATTAAAGGTTCTATATAGATTTAAAGTACTTATTAGTGGCATTCACAAAACTGCACAACTGTACGAACATAGATTTGAGGGAATTGTTGAATGACCGAGCTATTTTCTCCATTATGTATGTGACAGTGGAATTGTGATAAATGAAAGGGGAGGGGTCACTCCCTTTTATGGACCCAGCTAGCTATAAAAAGCCCTCTTAGTAGCTATTCTCTACTTGCTTTACCTGTAAAGGGTTAAAAAGTCTCCCTGCATAGGTAAAAGGAAGGGAGTGGGAACCTGACCAAAAAAGCCAATGGGAAGGCTAGAACTTTTCAAAATTGGGGAAAAAACTCCCCCTTTGTCTGTCTGTTGTGGTTCTCCAGAGAGAGGGGGACAGAGCAGTGATGCTGTAAAAAGCTTTGGGCCAGGTATGAAAATCATGGAATATCACGGTTGGAAGGGACCTCAGGAGGTTATCTAGTCCAACCCCCTGTTCAAAGCAGGACCAATCCCCAATTTTTGCCCCAGATCCCTAAATGGCCCCCTCAAGGATTGAACTCACAACCCTGGGTTTAGCAGGCTAATGCTCAAACCACTGAGCTATCCCTCAGATCATACCTAGAAACTACTCATTTGAAACCCCAGATATGTAAGTAGATCAGGAAATGTCTAGGAAGACGCAATTCAGTTTGTCTTTTATTTCTTTATGGCTTGTGGACTCCCCTGTGCTAACCCCGGTGCTTTTGTTTTGCTTGTAACCTTTAAGCTGGACCTCAAGAAGCTATTGTGATGCTTAATCCTTGTAATTGTTTTCTTTAAAAACCTAGCAAAAATCCTAAATTCAGATGTATTTTATTTCTCTTTTTTTAAATAAAATTTACCTTTTTTAAGAACAGGATTGGCTTTTTGTGTCCCTAAGAGGTTTGTGCACATGTTGTTTAATTAGCTTGGTGGCAACAGCTGATTTCCTTTGTTTCCTTTCTCAGCTCTTCCCCGGAGTGGGGATGAAAGGGCTTGAGAGTACCCCACAGGAAGGAATTCCCAAATGCGCCTTCCTTGGTTCTCAAAGAGGTTTTTGCACTTGGGTGGTGGTCTACCCATCCAAGGTCAGAGAAAAGCTGTAACCTTGGGAGTTTAACACAAGACTGGAGTGGCTAGTATTAATTTTTAGAATCCTTGCAGGCCCCCACCTTCTGCACTCAAAGTGCCAGAGTAGGGAATCAGCCTTGACAGGAATACAAATAGCTATGCATATATCTATCAGAACAGTGGGGAGGTAGGTATAAAATAAGTATGTGTTCATGTTTCTGCTACAGTGCTGTAATATAAAAATTAAAATCTATGTTATACATAAATTGTGGGTGAGACATACAAAATTAAAAATGGTAGTAAAATAGGTAAATCTAGTACAGTTAGCATTAAATATACTAAAACAAATCTCTCAATGGATGTTTACTATTGCTAATAATATTTAGAACTCAGGTAACTTCTTTCTCTTTTCAAAATGCATTGCAAACTTTAAGTAAGCTTCTCAATGCCCCTATGAAATAGGAAAATAAGAATTATTAAACCCATTTTTACAACTGGTGAAGAGGGGACAGATTTAGGCCAAAACTTCCAAATGTAGCTGGTAATTTTGAGTGATTCAAATTTTTAGTGTACAGCTTGAGATATCTATGGCCTGATTCTTCAGAGGTTCTGCTCACCTGCTTCTCCCAGTTGAAATAACTGAGAGCTGCAGCATACAGTCAGTCTTAAGCTGTGCACCCGAAGATTTGAGACACCCAAAATCAATAGCCATATGGAAAATGTTGGCCTTACTGGCCACAGTGATAGTCATACAGTAGAACCTCCTAGTACGAACTGACCAGTCAACCACACACCTCATTTGGAACCAGAAGTACACAATCGGGTGGCAGCAGAGACTAAAAAAAAAAAAAAGGCATACATAGTACAGTACTGCGTTAAACATAAACTATTATAAAAATAAAGAGAAAGCAGCATTTTTCTTCTGCATAGTAAAGTTTCAAAGCTGTATTAAGTCAATGTTCAGTTGTAAACTTTTGAAAGAACCACCTCCATTCCCGAGGTGTTCGTAAGTCTGAGGTTCTACTGCAGCTGGAATTTAATTCAAATACTTGGCTTAGTCTGGTACTTGGACCCTTCTATCAAGCCCCATTCTCTAGCCCATATCTCTGAATGCATTAATGACACAACCTCCTTAACTACTACTCCCAAAAGACCTTTTGTCAAGTGAAGCTTTCCCTAGTGTAATAGCAAGTTCTCTGAATTCTGTAAGTGAAATCCTGTTTTTACTGATGGGTGCCATGTGCAGGGAAAGGAGAGAACAGAATTGTCTCAGCCATGCATGTGGTACAAGAGATGCTTTGCTGGTATAGGTCAGGATGGTTCAAATTGGGCCTGGGTGAATAACCAGGGACAGCTTACTGCAGCCCCTTAAAAAATATGTATTTTCTAGGAAGCAGTCTTAATTGACACATCCATTTAAAAACATGTATTTTTGAGACAATCTTTTCTTTTCTTTTTTTCCCCAAACAGAAAGAGAATTTGACCCAAATAAACACTGTGGAGTACTGGATCCTGAAACAAAGAAACCTTGCACAAGATCACTCACCTGCAAGGTACTTTTCTCAGAAGATAAAATATCAGATGCTTTGTTATAGTTTAAAATCCCACCACGGTAATTTGAGAGGTCATACCTGCTCCTGTCTTAGAGACTATGGGTATGGTATTCAAACACTTTCCACAGGTAATTCTTGCTAAAGTAATTCTATTCTGTTTCTTTGGTGAATCAGAGCATCTACATCAATCCACTGATATTTTTGATAAAGGTTTTCCTTATCATTTGTGATGCAAAGGGCATTACAGTTTATTTACAGGCACTCAGTAGCATTGCTTTAAACACTGACTTTTGGTTAATATATGCAGCAGCACTGTTACACAGTCTCCTTGTAGTAAAGATGAAATTCATTTTCTTATAAATAATTTGAGATCTGCTTATATGGCTAAAAGACTCACATGACTGAAACAACAGTGTAAGACACACATATATCTACTGCTGTTGGTCTGTAGAGGGGAACAGGGCAATGTGCTTGAATATCCACCCTTATTTATATTTATACATTTGCCAGTCCAACCAGATCTAATTATTTATTGTAGATTAAGGGCTGCAATTACAATGCTCTAGACAGAATATTAGTAATACTATTTGGCTTGGAAATGGTAAATGGATAGTTTCCATTATGAAAATTGTCCCGAAAGATAATTTAAAGATAAATTGGACACTTCCTGAAAATAATTTTTTGAATTTATCCAGGGCAATGTGGAATAGCAACTTTTTATTGCCATGACTATATCTAAAGTTGTTTTAAGTGGAGTTTTTCTCTTAGAATTGTGTTTCAGAAATTTAGAGCATTCACAAACATTTTTATACAAAAATTCTTTTTAACCACCCTATTTTTAGACTCATTCACTTAACCATCGACGAGCAGTTCCAGGTCGCAAAAAACAGTTTGACATCCTTCTAGCTGAACACAAAGCTCGATCCAGGGAAAAAGAAGTTGCAAAAGACAAGGAGCATCCACAGTCTATAAGGGAAACCCATCAGAGCCATCCCACACCAGCACAGGATTCTTTGCCAGGATCTTCACTGAACTCTGGGCAAGAACCTAAAGTAACATTTCCTGCAAAATCTAGACCACCCAATTCTGTACTTCCTAGGTGAGCAGCCTTCTCAAATGCATGAATGCGATATTCTGAAACTTCTATAGGAAATGTCCCTCTATGTCTTGTGTACAGATAATGCTATATTTGTGTCATATTTATATGGATTATTCCATAATCAACTATTAATATAGGGTTCTTCTCAGGAGCTGGAAATAGATAACACCAATAGCGGTACTTAAATCACGGTATAATAGTCAGGGCTCTGACTGGGGTGGGGGAGAGTGGTTATTCCATAAACTCTGCTGTCAGTCGCAGAATAGCTGAATGTTTCAGCTAAAATGGTCAGTAGAAGTTAGCAAAGTTAATATTCAAATATCATGAATAGGTTTTAGAGTCAATTCATTTAAGTGAATCAGGGCAATTCATGCTTCTCGGTTAAGTTTGTGAAGGAAGGTGCCACTTAATAGTTCCTGTTCACTTTAATGGGACTGCTTGTACAGGAAGGTGCACTGGGATTATTTAGTCTGCAGAAGAGAAGAATGAGGGGGGATTTGATAGCTGCTTTCAATTATCTGAAAGGGGGTTCCAAAGAGAATGGATCTAGACTATTCTCAGTGGTACTAGATGATAGAACAAGGAGTAATGGTCTCAAGTTGCAGTGGGAGAGGTCTAGGTTGGATATTAGGGAAAACTTTTTCACTAGGAGGGTGGTGAAGCACTGGAATGGGTTACCTAGGGAAGTGACAAAGAAGTGACAAAATCTCCTTCCTTAGAGATTTTTAAGGTCAGGCTTGACAAAGCCCTGGCTGGGATGATTTAGTTGGTGTTGGTCCTGCTTTGAGCAGGGGGCTGGACTAGATGACCTCCTGAGGTCCCTTCCAACCCTGATATTCTATGATTTTATGACTTCAGTGTAAACAAAGTGATCAGCAGCTGGCCCTTAGCACTGTTCTTTCAGGCTGTCTGTCTGTAGCTAATCATTTCTTATTGAGGTTTTCTTTGCAACCACAAGGGCTAATAACACTTCTTAGAATGGAAGCCCAACTTCTAAAGAAACTGATGAAGCTCCTCTACAGAAGTTCTGAGATAGTATACTGGGTCAGCTGAACCCGAGTAATGCTCTGGTAAACTCCCCATGTGTTCTAGTTTCTAGCATATAGCGCAGCAGGCCAAGTGACAGTCACTTGTATCTCTTTTGAACTGGAGCACCAGTTTTGGATAGTGTTGATGGGGGTCAGTCAAGTCAGATTGATCCATGCTTCTTTTATTATTTCATATTCCACTTCTTCTGAGAGGTCCCAGTTGGCATTGGGCCCCCAGTGTGCTTGGTATTGTACAAACACATACAAAGATACTGTCCATGCCTCAAAGAGCATATCATCTAAAATAACCAAGTGACATACAAAGGGTGCAGGAAGAGAGCTACAAACAAGGATATGCAGTTTTTATATGCATATCTGCGCTTGCCACTTCAGAAATTATTCTGAATAAAGTAATTGTCAGGTGCTCCGGTCAGCTCCTCAAGCCAGCAATAATTGGCTAATTCAGTTCAGGGAAGGTTCCATGTGCAAGGAGCATGGAAGAACGTGTGTAGATGTTTGGGTGAGACTGACAAACTGGCAGATGAGGCTGGCATCTCTGGTGGAGAGGGGAGACTATACAAAGAGATGGGCAAAGAGGCAGGGAATGGCAGAGTTGTGAAGAGACTTAAAGGCTTGCACTTCCTGCAGTGAAAGCCAGTGGAGGGTTTCAAAGAGAAGGGTGAAGCGGTCAGAACAGGCAAGGAAGATGAGCTTACCAGTTACGCTTTGTAGTTCTACCCGTTAAGTACTCATTTCTGCTGCAGTGCCTGCATTTACCATCATAGTGACTATTAGCCTTCCTAGCTCTGGTTATGGTGACATGTATAACGGGTTTGAGATTCTAAACTTCAGTGCAGTTAGAGGTGTAAGCAACTCTGTGCAATTTCCACAAAACAGAGGCAGCTTGGCTACGGCTAGTGACATTTTATGGGGGCTGCTTCCTATTATGTTAAGATTCTCATCAACTCCAAGGTAATGTTAGAGAAAAATCTGTTAGGCAATGAAAACATGCCTGTATTAGCAGCAGCGAGTTTTTATTGTAAGCACTCAACAGACGTGCTAGAATGGTTGTTTCTCTAAATCTACCTTTGGACTCTGGATTGTTGCACGTGTGACTTCTCAGAATCAGAGAGTTACAAAACTGACTGAGAAACAATTTGGCAGTAAATTCACTTGACTAGAGAAGTGACAAAATCAGGCTACCAGTTACAGACCATTTGTTTCCCTCTACCATCAGACTAGCACACATGCACACTTGGCCACGTAGGGTGCAAGTCTTCACTACTATAACTGAATTCCCCCAACGATTGTTTCTAGGCTGCTTTTGAAGCATATACATTTGTTACCAAAGAAGGCACTATCATGCATGGGGGGGGGGATTGTTTTGTGGGGTGGGCGGGGAGTGTCTAGCACAAAGCCTGCACTATTCTGGATGGTCCTGCTTTGATTTTTTTATAGGGTTTTAGAGAAAGACTAGATAAAGTTGTCTACTGGGAAAATCATACTATATAGAGCTATCTGGATTTACTTAACTAGCTAGAAATAAACGAAGCCAGGCATTTTATTGCAGTTACTAAGCTAGTGGACCTTCTTCTGGTAGGAATTTCATAGCAAATAAAATTGCAGAACTGGACACCTAGTTTTTTAGCAAGTAACAGAGTAATGGTTCCATGTGTTAGCCTTTCAGTTTCTTTCCCATTTATTTTTTGTTTTTATTCAAATATACCTTCTTTGCCTTTCATACCTCTTAAACTGACCCTCCTTGTGAGCCCCAAATGTAACTTCATCCAACACAAATGTAATGGTGAAAGGCTGAACTGTGAAAGTGATGTAATTTTTAAAAAATCTTCTTAATTACACCACATCATTTTTATGCTTCTTACGCTGTCATTTCTTGTGCCATTTACTTTGGAGCTTGAACAGATGTTGTGCCGTATGTGGTTTTAGCAATGTGGTTTTAGCAAGCTGGTTATGGAGCTTCTTCAAAACATTGAGACTGTAAATCTTCTTTCTCCTCTTAGACCATCATCTGCAAATAGCGTAAACAGCAACAGTTCTTCAAACCACAGTGGCTATGTACCGGAACTGCCACTATCTTCCATGGGAGGAGATTTAGTTTGTAGATTGTCCAGTGATGAAGGAGAAGTGGATGGAGCTGAAGAATCTGAGAAATTAGACTGTCATTTTTCTGGACACCACCCGAGGCCTCTTGGGGTATGTCTGTCTTTTTACAGCACTGCTGCTGTTATTGTTTATACAATGCCATTGGGGTATATGGCATTCTACAGACATGTCAGAAATAAGGACCCTGCATTCTAAAGTTTTCAGTCAAAATAAGACAAATACATCTGATTATGACAGAAGACAATGATGGGTAGGGGAGGAGGAGAGAGACAGGTTAGTGCACATGACATATTAATAGTACAAGGTTATGGGCACAATAAAAAATCAGCTGTAGAAAAAAAAAGTTTTAGGGCTAGATTTCCCTCTCACCAACATCAGTATAAACCAAAAGTAATTCTGATGTAATGAATAGTTACACTTGTGTAAAACTGTCATGAGAGGATAATTAGCCTTTATATCTTGAGAAGAGCTAACCTCTTAGGTTAAATGACAACATCTAAATGTCCTTGAAAATCTTACAGCAACAAAAAAGCTACCAAGTGATTAAACTGCTTTATATTCTTGAGTATGTGTAGTCCACCTTGGAGCAATAACACTGCAGGAGTGCTATTTTCATATGAATGCACTTGTGCATTGATCTTATTGCCTTATTCATCTAAAAATGGAGTGTCCTCTCCTGAGTGAGGCGTAATCCATCTGCTCTGGAAGCACTCTGCCTCAACTGTGTGCCGGTCTGGCTGCTCCTGTTGTCTTTCTCCTCTGCTGGTTTTAAGTTTTATTGTTACTCATAAGTGCAGCCATGTGGCACCAGAACTGAAGAGTGTATTTGTTTATCTAGTACAATGAAAGCAGTAATCAGATAATTCTTGAACTCCTGAGCAGACAGCTCTCATAAAAATCAAGCTCGGGAAATTAGTTAATGACAACTAAAAGTTTTCATCAATTTATTTTCTATACAATTTGCTTAATTAAGAGAATGTGCTTCTATTATCACACCACAGTAATACACTGAAACAGTATGACAACTGCGACGTAGTCGAGGCCTCAGACTTAAATGTGCATCATTCCCATTGAAGGAAAGGGGAATTTTACCTGTGTTGTTACTCCTGGACTGGGCACATAGATGCCCCCAACATTAACATATGTTTACCCTGATTTTCAAATTAAATTTAAATATCACTCCATCTGTATGTTTATTTTCCCCGTGTTTTAAAGGATAGCCAGCATTAGAATTTATCCTACTTTATCATGTCCGGTTTTCAGAGTAGCAGCCGTGTTAGTCTGTATTCGCAAAAAGAAAAGGAGGACTTGTGGCACCTTAGAGACTAACCCATTTATTTGAGCATAAGCTTTCGTGAGCTACAGCATCCGATGAAGTGAGCTGTAGCTCACGAAAGCTTATGCTCAAATAAATGGGTTAGTCTCCAAGGTGCCACTAGTCCTCCTTTACTTTTTATCATGTCCAGAAACTACAATGGCTTGTTTGATGCATCCTACTATGTGTCTGTCAATTATACAAAATTGTAGGTGGCACTTTCTGAGACGGATTGCATAGAAGTGATTTCAGAGTCACTGAACAGTAAAGAAAAGCTAAAATTCTTTTAAAATAAAAAAAAAAACCTACAGAATTATGTAATGTAGCATCAACTCTCCAAAATGTTTGTTAATTTTGGATGGTCTCCTCACCCAGAGGCAGAGTGAAATGGAGCTGCTCAAAGTGAAGATGGCATCCCTAACTTGTGAAAAAATTTCTCTTATCTCCATCCAGCATGTGCCTCTCTTCCTCACAATCATTGTATTTGAACTTATGCTAAGGAATTTATAATGTTAAATTATACCCATTGTCTGGGTACTGGCACTTGAATACTCCAGTTGATGGGTGTTTGTATAGGAGCCCAGATGGGGTAGATAGCATGTCTCATTTCATTAAGTACTATCCTTTTAATGTTGCATGAAGCAACACATAAGACAACTATAGGAAAGCTCTTGTCACCAGTAGAATTGTACAATAAAGAAATCTCCATAAAACATTGGGTATCTGTCTGTCTAGTATTCTCTGCAGTGTCACTAGGCAGACTCATGTTAGATTGTTTTCTCAGCCTTTTTGTAGAGGATTGTATGGGTTTGGATGCAGTGAAAGAAGTATGAAAGAACCGCTGGATACAGAATGTATTGTTACCAAACAGCCGCCCCAACAAGTGTCAAAGGAACAGCGTTCATGAGTGTGAAGAGACAGTGACTCTGTAATAATGAATGTTGGCCTGGTTAATTGGATGTATGGTGTATGGATATATTGGTTTAGCTCAACCTAGAAATAAATCTGTTGCGTTTGTCTGACTAGGAAAACAGGCAGAAAGAAAAGACTGGCTCAATATAAGCCACTGCTCAGGAAATACTTGTCGTTAAGGGATAGTGGCAGAACCATCAGCTCTGAAAACTCCAGCTCAATCTCCTGAAGAGCCTACAGGACTGGTTTTGACCAGAAGACTCAGGGACCACAATGTGACAGGTCTCACCGTCTCCTCCTCCCCCCCCCGCCCGCGGGGAGCCACCTGGAACTGGGGTACCACTGAGCCCTCTGACTCACCAGCTTGGGCTCCCTCTCACCCTGTGCTGCTGTAATAAGCTGCAGACCTGCTCCTGGTCTTACACTTCCACCAGCATACACACAGGTAGGGACACACCCAGCTGCAGTTACATGCAGGCTCTCTGACCAGCCACTGCATAAACCAACAACAGAGAGCCTACAACCAAAATAACCACCAGCTTCCCAACCTAGGACCCCACCCCCCGCCCCCACTGGAGTATAAACCCAGAATTATACCGCCTTGCACTGCACAGGGAACTGTACAGCATAAGCTCATAGAGTTCACACACACCCCAATGTGGAGACGAATATGCAACAGCCTTTGCTGCTTGAGCTATGATTTCCCACACACTTCACTTTAACTCAGTGGTTTAGATAAAGCAAAAACGAGTTTATTAACAACAAAAGATAGATTTTAAGTGATTATAAGTGAGAGCAAACAGATCAAAGCAGATCACCTAGTAAATAAACAAAAACGCAAATTAAGTCTAAGATACTAGAAAGATAGGATATGAAATAGCAAATTCTCACCCAGGCTGATGATACAGGCAGGCTTTCAGATTCTCAAGGCCCAAGCTGCACTTGCTTTACAGCTTGGAATCCCCAGGTTTTCAGACACAGGCTAGAAATCCCTTTAGCCTGACTCCAGCATCCCCGAGTTCAGTCTTTCTTCCTAAGGTGTTTCCAGAAGTCTTCTTTGTGGGGAGTGAAGAAAACTTGATGATGTCACTCTCTGCCTTATATAGCTTTAGCATATGGCAGGGACCCTTTGTCCCAAACTTCAGTTTGTGGAAAAACACTGGTATCCAAGATGGAGTCCAGAGTCAAGGCCCTTGCATACCTTGCTGAATCATAGCAGCCATTACTTAATAAGTTTCTGGAGTGTTCTCAGGAAGGCTCACCAGGTGGGAGATAGGCTTCTCCTAAAGCCTATTGTTTTCCTTAATGACTCATTACCCTGAATAGACCCTTTCCAGCCAGCTATCTAGACTGAAAGCATCTTACCTAGTGGGCGTCACCCTGGTGTAACTACATTTGAAATACAGATAGTCAATATTCATAACTTCAGATACAAAAATGATACATGCATACAAATAGGACAGTCCTATTCAGCAAATCATAACTTTCCAATGACACCTCACATAACCCGTCTTGTACAAAATGCATCATAATTATGCCATAATTATATCATCATAATATCACTGTGAAGAACTGTAACAAGGTTTAAAAGGAACCCTCTCTCAAGAGAGAGGTAGTGGGCATTTGGGAGAACCAGTCTGAGACACAGGGATCTCCTGGGGTGTCTGAAGAAGATAGGCCTGCCTAATTCTAACCATCCTAGGGGATGGTGAAACTTTTGATAAGGTAGACATGTGTAGATTGTTGAATTAAAATCTTTTTTATCTAACAACTTTGTTCTTTCTGCTAAAATAAACAGTACTTTGATTTTATCCCTTGTATACCGCTGACCACAGACTCCCAAAGGGAAGAACCACAGGTGCCTGAACTCAGTAAGACCTGCTGAGTTGATACGCTGGTTACTGTAGCATGTGCCTGGTCTAGGAGTGGGCAAATTGCGAAATTCCACCCCAGGGTAGGTAAAAGCACAAGGCCTAGCACCTTGAGTGGATACTCTGAGAGAGATCAGAAAGGGAAGAGAGGTGCAGCTAGTGTAATTATGTCAGTGTATTTCAATACAGCCACCTTCATCCAGAATAACAGTATCTGCAGTATGCAATCTTGAGGGTAAGGCTAAGTATAACTGGAGAAGTGAGGGAATGTTCAGGGTTCGTCAGGGATGCACAGTAACCTCCTTCCTCTCTTCCATTCCACATATGCTTAATAAATATAATGTTATTTCATATGAAATAAACTTTGCTTACATGGTGACCTGGTCATTGATCCTGGGGTGTGATACAGTCACCTCAATCCATGTAATCACGATAACAGCTATGCTCTGAGAGGTGATGTAATCTGGTTTTACTCTACCACTTTTGTGTTCTTTTTACCCCTTCTTTGGCAACCAGTACAAAATATTACTTTTTGTTAGGATGGCCAGCAGCTGGCCATCTGCAGTCTGAGCGAGGTGTGTCTTGCATCTTCTTACAGATGCGTAATTGCTATGGTGCATGGGGGGCTGCACTGACAGAGAGTGAGCGTTACAAGAGTATCCTGAACACATATACCACTGGGGCCACAGCATGATATTGGACCAGTTCGCAGTGCACTGAACCAGAAAGACAGAAAAACAAGCTAATTGTATGTAGTGTTCCTGGTTATTGGCTGTTGGCATTAGGAGCAGGAATGAGGGCTAAGTTAAATAAAGATGAGTACAGAGATAAGTGTATCAAGAGGCTAGAAAAGTGGTTCCATTGTTGTCTGATGTTGACTTCTAAGAGGAATCTACTCCACAGAGATCTGTCGCTCCAGCCCCCTGCCGCAGTTAAGGATCAGTAATGGTGACCAAAGAAAAAGTAGACAACCCAAAAGCATGGAAAGCTTTCAGTGATGCCCTTTCCGTGGTTTTTAAATTTATCCCCAAAAGTCTTTCGAGGTTGAGGTGCAAACGCACCCTTTCCGAGTCTTCTGGAGAATTCCCACAGGGAGATAGTACCCACTAGTCAATGCGTGTGCAGCCAGGAGAATGGGGTGTTGTGCACGCTTCTGTACAGGATGTACTGGTGGGAATTCTTTTCCTTCTCTTCCTGAAGAAGCGTCATCTGTTCAGTCCTTGTGAAGTAGTTTATTAAGGACAGTGGTACAGTGCTTTTCGTTTGTTTTCTTTAGAATGATTTGTATTCTTGCTTAATGAAATGTGGTATTTAACATGCATTGAATGGTATCGCTGATTGAGGCAGTTACGGTATTAGCAGGAATTACGTTGCTAACATTGCAGCTCAGGATTTACATGATGTGTGAAAGAGAAAGTATGACTCTGATATTAGAATCAAGCCCTTAACCCACACAGGTGAGTTTTTAGCGGATGTATAAAATACCCCTGACAACAAGCTGAAATGTTAAACATATTTCATATATCATGCAGGAAAGTAACTGGTGATACTTTCTTCTGTCTATAGTTGACTTTAAAATATATATATTTGTGTTGTGCAAGTGTGTGTGTGTGTGTGTGTGTGCACATGTGTATGTGTATATATATATATATAAAAAAAATATAAAAATATTTCTCTATACATTTTGTACTAATTTATTAGTCTGTTAGCAACATTGAAATGTCTTTTCTTTCAGTTTTGTTCATTTGGCAGTCGCTTAATGGGAAGAGGATACTATGTATTTGACAGAAGATGGGACCATTTTCGATTCGCACTAAACTCCATGGTAGAAAAACACTTGAATTCACAGATGTGGAAGTAAGTGAGAATTTTGCACCATGTGGTTGTTTTATTCTTTTATAATAGTTAATGCTTACAGTCTTCTAAATTAACCACTTCCATGCAATGCTTTTTTTTAAAGTTACCTGGCACATTAGGTAGTGTCATTTACATGAATACAATTTTATTCTTTGTACTCAAGAAATACAGCTAGCCTTTAGGAGCTTACAGCACAACAGAATAATTTTTTAGTCACCGTTCCAAAGCAGATTTCTACTTGGTGGCTGATGATGATCTTAACAGAAGTGTACCACATCTAGGTTACATGTCCCTCTGTACCTCTAGGGTAGGGTAGTTCCATTAGCCTTCTAACTGCTTATGTGTCATTTTGTTGTAGAACCCATTTTTCCAAAATATTTGTGTCTGCTTCATGCAATTGTAAGATTTATTATCTATAGACATGGCTTTCTTTACACATTATTTTGCCCTGACTTCACTGAGAGGCCAATGTACAAAAGATCTTTTCCCTTGGTTATCGCTGAGATGGTGGTGGTGGTGGTTCAGAGATATACTAATGCAATGTATTGATGGGTTGAATGCTCACTGCTTGCAAACCCACAAAAACCCACAGTAGTTTTCTCCATACGGACTGAAATACCCCTGACAACAAGCTGAAATTTTAAACATATTTCAAATATCATGCAGGAAAGGACTGGTGATATTTTTCTCTGTCTAGAGCTGACTTTAAATATATATATTTGTGCTGTGCAAGTGTGTGTGTATATATAATGTAAGAAACGGTCAAATGAAAAAAGTCTCATTCAATTACATCATATAATGGCAGACAGCTAAAAATTGTTTTTTAAAGTGCTTATATACCAATGCTGGAAGTCTAAATAATAAGATGGGTGAACTAGACTGCCTCGTATTAAATGAGGATCTTGATATAATAGACATCACAGAAACTTGGTGGAATAAGGATAATCAATGGGACACAGTAATACCAGGGTACAAAATATATCAGAAGGACAAAACAGGTCTTGCTGGTGGGGGAGTGGCACTATATGTGAAAGAAAGAGTAGAATCAAATATAGTAAAAATCTTAAATGAACTAAACTGTACATTGAATCTCTATGGGTAGTAATTTCATGTTCTAATAATAAGAATATAGCAGTAGGGGTATATTACCGACCACCTGACCAGGATGGTGACAGTGACTGTGAAATGCTCAGGGAGATTAGAGAGGCTATTAAAATAAAAAGAATAAAAAGCTCAATAATAATGCGGGATTTCAACTATCCCCATATTGACTGGATCACCTCAGGACGGGATGCAGAGATACAGTTTCTTGACACCTTAAATGACTGCTTCTTGGATCAGCTTGTCCTGGAACCCACAAGAGGAGAGACAATTCTTGATTTAGTCCTAAGTGGAGCACAGGATCTGGTCCACGAGGTGAATATCGTTGGACCGCTTGGTAATAGTGACCATAATATAAATAAATTTAACATCCCTGTGGCGGGGAAAACACCACAGCAGCCCCAAACTGTAGCATTTAATTTCAGAAAGGGGAGCTACACAAAAATGAGGAGGTTAATTAAACAGAAATTAAAAGGTACAGCGCCAAAAGTGAAATCCCTGCAAGCTGCATGGAAACTTTTTAGAGACACCATAATAGAGGCTCAACTTAAATGTATACCCCAAATTAAAAAACATAGTAAGAGAACCAAAAAAGTACCACTGTGGCTAAACAACAAAGTAAAAGAAGCCATGAGAGGCAAAAAGGCATCCTTTAAAAAGTGGAAGTTAAATCCTAGTGAGAAAAATAAAAAGGAGCATAAACTCTGGCAAATTAAGTGTAAAAATATAATTAGGAAATCCAAAAAAGACTGTGAAGAACAGCTAGCCAAAGACTCAAGAAGTAATAACCAAAAAAAAAAAAAAAGGACATTAGAAGCAGGAAGCCTGCTAAACAACCAGTAGGGCCACTGAATGATCGAGATGCTAAAGGAGCACTCAAGGACAATAAAGCCATTGCAGAGAAAGTAAATGAATTATTTTCATCGGTCTTCATAGCTGAGGATGTGAGCGAGATTCCAAAACCTGAGACATTCTTCTTTAGGTGACCAATCTGAGGAATTGTCCCAGACTGAGGTGTCATTAGAAGAGGAACAAACTGATAAACTAAACAGTAATAAGTCACCAGGACCAGATGGTATTCACCCAAGAGTTCTGAAGTAACTCAGATGTGAAATTGAAGAACTACTAACTCTAGTATGTAAACTATCATTTAAATCAGCTTCTGTACCAAATGACTGGAGGATAGCTAATGTGACGCCAATTTTTAAAAATGGCTCCAGAGGTGACCCCGGCAATTACAGGCAGGTAAGCCTGACATCAGTACCAGGCAAACTGTTTGAAGCTATAGTCAAGAACAAAATTGTCAGACACATAGATGAACATAATTTGTTGGGGAAGAGTCAGCATGGTTTTTGTAAAGGGAAATCATGCTTCACCAATCTACTAGAAATCTTTGAAGGGGTCAACAAGCATGTGGACAAGGGGGATCCAGTGGATATAATGTACTTAGATTTTCAGAAAGCCTTTGACAAGGTCCCTCACCAAAGGCTCTTAAGCAAAGTAAGCTGTCATGCGATAAGAGAGACGGTCCTCTCATGGATTGGTAACTGGTTAAAAGGTCGGAAACAAAGGGTAGGAATAAATGGACAGTTTTCAGAATGGAGAGGGTAAGCAGTGGTATCCCCCAGGGGTCTGTACTGGGACCAGTCCTATTCAACATATTCATAAATGATCTGGAAAAAGGGGTAAACGGTGAGGTGACAAAATTTGCAGATGATACAAAACTACTCAAGATAATTAAATCCCAGGGGCAGACTTCGAAGAGCTACAAAAGGCTCTCAAAACTGGGTGACTGGGCAACAAAATGGCAAATGAAATTCAATGTTGATAAATGCAAAGTAATGCACATTGGAAAACATAATCCCAACTATACATATAAAATGATGGTGTCTAAATTAGGTGTTACCACTCAAGAAAGAGATCTTGGAGTCATTGTGGATAGTTCTCTGAAAACATCCACTCAATGTGCAGCGGCAGTCAAAAAAGCTAACAGAATGTTGGGAATCATTAAGAAAAGGATAGATAATAAGCAAGAAAATACCATATTGCCTCTATATAAATCCATGATACACCCACATCTTGAAGACTGCATACATATGTGGTTGCCCCATCTCAAAAAAGATATACTGGAATTGGAAATGATTCAGAAAAGGGCAACAAAAATGATTAGGGGTATGGAACAGCTTCCGTATGAGGAAAGATTAATAAGACTGGGACTTTTCAGCTTGGAAAAGAGATGACTAAGGGGGGATATGACTGAGATCTAAAAAATCATGACTGGTATGGAGAAAGTAAATAAGGCAGTTCATAACACAAGAACTAAAGAGCAGGTTTAAAACAAACAAAAAAAGTAGTTCTTCACACAATGCATAGTCAACCTGTGGAACTCTTTGCCAGAGGAGGTTGTGAAGGCCAAGACTATAACAGGATTCAAAAAAGAATTAGATAAATTCATGGAGGATAGGTCCATCAATGGCTATTAGCCAGAATGGGCAGGGATGATGTCAGAAACATAGAAGATTAGGGTTGGAAGACACCTCAGGAGGTCATCTAGTCCAACCCTCTGCTCAAAGCAGGAGTAATCCCCATCTAAATCATCCCAGCCAGGACTTTGTCAAGCCGAGCCTTAAAAACCTCTAAGGATGGAGATTCCACCACCTCCCTTGGTAACCCATGCCAGTGCTTCACCACCCTCATAGTGAAATAGTTTTTCCTAATATCCAACCTAGACCTCCCCCACTGCAACTTGAGACCATTGCTCCTTGTTCTGTCATCTGCCACCCTTGAGAACAGCGTAGCTCCATCGTCTTTGGAATCCCCCTTCAGATAGTTGAAGGCTGCTATCAAATCCTCCCCTCACTCTTCTCTTCTTCAGACTAAATAAGCCCAGTTCCCTCAGCCTTGCCTCATAAATCATGTGCCCCAGCCCCCTAATCATTTTTGTTGCCTTCCGCTGGACTCTCTCCAATTTGTTCACATTCTTCTGTAGTGGGGGGCCCAAAACTGGATGCAGTACTCCAGATGTGTCCTCACGAGTGCCAAATAGAGGGAAATAATCACTTCCCTTGATCTGCTGGCAATGCTCCTACGAGTGCAGCCCAATATGCCGTTAGCCTTCTTGGCAACAAGGGCACGCTATTGACTCATATCCAGCTTCTCGTCCACTGTAATCCCCAGGTCCTTTTCTGCAGAACTGCCGCTTAGCCAGGCGGTCCCCAGCCTGTAGCAGTGCATGGGATTCTTCCGTCCTAAGTGCACTTGTCCTTGTTGAACCTCATCAGTGTCCTTAGCCTCTGTTCGCCAGAAGCTGGGAATGGGCTACACAACATGGATCACTTAATGATTATCTGTTCTGTTCATTCCCTCTGGGGCACCTGGCATTGGCCACTGTCGGAAGACAGGATACTGGGCAAGATGGACTTTTGGTCTGACCCAGTATGGCTGTTCTGATACTGAACAAAAATAAGGATTACAGCCCAGTCCTCCTCTCTGGTGCTGCTTGGCTAGCAACACACTTTGTTGACCAATCTGCAAAGTATCATTGGTGTCAACTTTGCATGCTGTTCATTCTTTCCCCTCAAAACTGGAAGGAAAACTATATATCTGTGACCACCCTGGAGAAGACTGAAGGTGATTGGAATAAAGGGGAATGGTGTCAGTGAGCACTTGATACCAGTGTGTCAAGATTTCCTAACATGAGGTATTCATGGCGGTACACAGGTTTCATGAGGCTCATTGGCATTAAGGTCTTAACATGTCCATTTGCAATGCAATATTAAACACATTTCACCATTATATTTTGCAACAGTGTCCTAAGCACTGCATATGGGCATGAGTTGCACAGATGCATTAAAAATAGCTGGCATTACAACAATTTAAGAATTTAGAAAACAATGTAAAAACAGCACTTGGGACTTGAAGACGTGATTGTACTGCACAATGTGCATGCTCCATCCAATATAACTACATTACTTTGTAATGTTTCATGTCACTCCATATATTAGAGCTGTTATAGGCATTATATAGCAGGTATTAGATCAACCAGTTTTAATTTTATTTAAATATCTTGCTATTGAAATACTAAAGCTCGGCTTGTCTGACTAACCTGTAGACTAGAAGAAATCAGACTGCTGTGCTGGGAGACGGAGTTTGGAAACAGTGGGCTTGTTGCCCCTGGGGTTAGTTTCTTGCATAGCTGAGGTTAGAAGGAGATAGCAGGTGTTTGCTGCACAAGTGTTTCTCATCTTCCAGTAGTAGCTGTAGCAGTTTACTATCAGGTGAAGAGGAGGCTGTTCATTTTGCCACCCAAAGGTAAAGCTGTGGATCCACAGGATAGAAGCTCAAAAGATTTGGGAGGTACTCGTTTGTTCATGTGGCGATTCAGCACTCAGGCGGCTGAGAGAGTGTGTCGCTGGCATCGCAACACCATGAAAAGCGTAAAAAAAATCACTACCTCTGTCAGTACTGTGAAACATGTTAAAAGGCACTATCCTGCTCCCATTGAAGTCAGTGAGTGTCTAACCTTAAATGTTTGACCCAAATACTAGCTCAGCCTCTTTATGAAATCTCTACGTATGTTTAATATTTCTTTTTTCAGTTAATTTTGTCAGCACTTTATTTGCCATATAACATTGAAAGTTCTTGACACTGGGTCCCTAATTGTATCCCTTTCTTATTCTCTCCTTCTTCCAGACCGATCTTTTCTTATCTTCCCCAACTGACTGCATTACAGTCCCTCTAAGCAGGGGCATTTGTAAAGCACTACTCTAGAACTGATGCTATTGCAGTCCCATAGCTATGGCTCATGCAGCAGAGATGAGGGGGTGAGGTAAAGCACTGTGCTGAGAGTATGTTTCCCAGAATAATAATAATAATACTCATGTAGTACTTTTCATCTTACTCACAAAGGTGGGTAAGAATTATCACCCCCACTTTGCAGATGAAGAAAGTGAGGCACACAGAAGCTAAGCAACTTGCCCACGGTCACACAGCAAGTCACTGGCAGAGTTGAGACTAGCACTCATTAATTCCTAGTTCCCAGGCCTCTGCATAATTCCATCCCCTTCTCTATCATAAGCATTGTGTTCAGTGCTAGGCCCTTCAATTCTAGACAGATACTGCAAATAGGGAGGTAGTTCAGGGAAGATCAATGAGAATAGTTAGGGAATCGGAACTACTTTATAAGGAAATACTCCATTGGGGGTTTTTATATATACTTGTCTGAGTGACCATTCTGGGGCCAGTGAGAACTGAGTCTATTAATCCTTGAAGGGTGTAAACATGGCTCAAAAAACTTGTATTAGAGAGGCTTATACAAAGGAGTGTAACTATGAGAAACTGAATGAGATTAAGAAAGCTAAACTTTAGGCTGAATGGCAGGAAAAGGCCATGTAATAGTTTCCCAGAAGAAATGACAGAAGCCCAATTTCTTGGGACACTTAAGGTAAGACTAGATAAAGCAATAAAGTGTGTGCTAGAGTTGGCTGAATAGGAAAAAAAAATTCAATATAGACAGCTAATTTCCCTGGTAATTATTGAATAATATATTCTCCAAATAGTATTCAGCCACCTATAGAGCTGATTAAATACCACAAAAAATGGACAAGTTATTCAACAAAAATCAGTGAAATTCATCAACTAGGTATTTGATTAATCCTATCTGGCCAGCCCTAAAATGGGCTATAGGGAACAATCCTCCACTGACAGAGTGATGGACTATGCATTTCTAACTGCGCCGATCCTGTGATTCACAACTCAGAAACTGGCCAAGTGCAGCAGCTCCCACCCCTCGTTGATCTGACCTCTAAATTCAGGTTAATGTTGAATTGTCCCACTAATCCAGCCTTTGAATACTTTCAAGAAAAACAAATGTAATATTTTTAAACGTTATGGTTAGAGGTTGAGAGTCATGGGATTGAGCTTTGTGGTATCTCTGGGTTATTTTGTAAGGTGGGGAAGGAAACAGGAAATTAAATTTGGAATAAAATTATTTAATTGAAACATTGAACTCAGAATTTTCACTTAGCACTTTTTGCTGAAGTGAAGCCTGGATCTAGATTAACAGGTGTATTGCAGGCAGGATTAAGAGGCATTAGCAGTGTTGTTTGGGGAAGTTTACGCGGCATAATTCTCTGCTCAGGCCTGTGTATTACTCCCCCACTTCCTTCAGCATCAGCTCAATACTCCTGATTTGAAACTATGCTTTGGGAAAATATAAATTAAGATCCATGTTTAGGAAATTATTATAGTAATAAAATGTGTGTGCATATTTATTTTAGGTTGAATCACAAAGCACCTAACATTAGAACCATGCGTTTAAAAAAGAGACATTTTAAACTGACACAAAATAGTCTGTGGTATTGGAGTTAAAATTTACATGGTCACGAGGGATAGTATTTAGAATTAGAATTTTTTTTTCGTAGTTTGATCTATCCAGGAAAACTCTTCCTATCTGCATTGCTCAAATTGAGCCTATCAGATTGGATGAAAAATAAAAAATCTGAATATCAATGTTTTTCTTTTTCATATTTAGGAAAATCCCTCCTGCGGCAGATAGCCCCATGCCTTCTCCAGCAGCACATATCACCACCCCTTTTCCAGCATCGGTTTTACAGCCTTTCAGCAACCCCAATGCAGTGTATATTCCTTCAACACCCATCAGCTCAAGAATCACATCTTCTTACATAATGACATCAGCCATGTTATCGAACACAGCCTTTGTGACAGCGTCGGATACGAATTCCATTGTGTCACACACCACAGCTTTTCCTCATGTGGCCGCAAGTTTAAGTATCATGGACTCAACTTTTAAGGCACCATCAGCTGTGTCACCAGTGCCAGCAGTCATCCCTTCCCCATCCCACAAACCATCCAAAACAAAAACCAGCAAATCCTCAAGAGTCAAAGACCTATCGTCTCGTAGCGATGAATCTTCAAGTAACAAAAAGAAAAAGTCACCGTCTTCTTCCTCTTCATTATCTTTGCAGACATCCTCCTCGTCTTCATTTTCAGGGTCCCACAAAAAGAACTGTGTCCTGAATTCTAGTTCCACTTTGAACTCCTATCAGGCTACATCTTCCTATAACAGTATGTCTGTACACAATACAAACAATGGAACAAGCCCACTCAGTGCCAAATCGGAGCCCTCAGGACGGACTTCATTAGCAAGTAGCTCAGCTGACTCAGTAAAACACATGAGCATGGTAGTAAGCAGTATTGACTCCTCTAATTTGTCTGTATCCTCCTTTGTGCACCATTCAGGGGACCATTCCCTGGCAGCACATAATGCAGTGTCTTCTCTACCCCTTTCTTTTGACAAATCAGATGGAAAAAAACGTAAAAACTCTAGTACTAGTAGCAAAGCCTGTAAAATCACTAAAATGCCTGGTATGAATAGTGTTCACAAAAAGAGCACTGCCAACCTTATTTCTACGGTGCCAGATCCTCCAAACAGCTCGCTCTCTCGCCAGGTAAGGGATTCTTCCAGTTACTTCTCTGCAGGTCGTTTGCCTTATTTGAAATGTATTGAATTGTGAGAGAACTGGTTTTACAATTGTCTCAGACTCTGTTTTTCATCTTCTGACTTCCTGTTTAGGCTGATGCAAAAACGTTTTTGCATTTGTTTTGAACCCAGTCTGGAAAGGAGGTTCAAGTGTGCAAAACACCTTTGTGATACTTTATTCAAATATTTTTGTTTTACAAGTGATAACAGTTCTAATGCAACTTTACAACTAGCTATTTATGTTTTAGATCTCAAATTGAGGGGGAAGGATGGGGAAGTTAATTTCAGAAGTTAATTCCTGCTCTTTGTTCATGGCTTGGTACAGTGCATGCAAATTCAATATGTAATCTATCTCAGTATAGCTCATCACTGCACAGCTCATCAGATTTGGTTTCTTTATATACAGATGTTTTGCTTTTGGAGCGTTTTTTTTTTTTCATAAACACATGCAAAATAAAGGCCTGCTCCTGAAAGGTGGAGAGTACCAGTCACTCCCATGGATTCAGTGGCTGTTTTGTGCTCTCAGCATCTTTCTGATTCCTGACCTAAACCAAACTCATTTTCCCCTTTGAGCAGAACTACTTATTCAGTCCCTTTTTAGGGGGTTGGGTCCTAAATGAATTGTTCAAAGACTGGTGACGACATCGGTTCTGCGAGTTAGGATCCCCTTTATTAGACAACAGTCCTTATTCTGGTGTACAGTAACTTTTCGATTAGTGAACTCAATAAAGCTAATAAAATAGATTTATTTCACAGTTGGAACCAGGAAAATGAAAGTTCGCTTTACATGTGGATTTGTTTTAAAAACATTCTAATTTGTTTTTATTAATGCTCAAATAATTTTTAAATTGTATGCATTACACAAAAAGCATAGTGACTGCTTTAAACATCGTGACTGAATAATTCAGATCAACATATTTAAAAGAGATGGAATGGTAGTTTTCACAGAATACTGTGACTGTTGGAACAATCCACAGTGCACTTATTACAAAAAACAAAAGTAGTAAAAGGACTTAAAAGAAACTTGTTAAAAGGTTTCAGAGTGGTAGCCATGTTAGTCTGTATCAGCAAAAAAACCAAGGAGTACTTACTTGTTGCACCTTAGAAACTAACAAATATATTTAGGCATAAGCTTTTGTGGGCTAAAACACACTTCATCGGATGCATGCAGGGGAAAATACAGTAGGAAGATATATATACACAGAGAGAACATGAAAAAATGGGTGTCAAAACAAAAGACTGGACTTCTACATAGAGTGCTTCCACCGACGTGCATGGGCTGAAATTGTGGAAAAGCAGCATCACTTGCCCCAAAACCTCAGCCATGCAGAACAGAACACCATCCACAGCTTCCTCTGACATCATAATCAAAAAGGCTGACAAAGGAGGTGCTGTCGTCATCATGAATAGGTCGGAATATGAACAAGAGGCTACTAGCCAGCTCTCCAACACCACTTTCTACAGGCCATTATCCTCTGATTCCACTGAGGGTTACCAAAAGAAACTACACCATTTGCTCAAGAAACTCCCTGAAAAAGTACAGGAACAAATTTGCACAGACAGACCCCTAGAATCATGACCAGGGGTATTCTGTCTGCTACCCAAGATCCAGAAACCTGGAAATCCTGAACGCCCCATCATCTCAGGCATTGGCACCCTGACAGCAGGATTGTCTGGCTATGTAGACTCCCTCCTCAGGCCCTACGCCACCAGCACTCCCAGCTGTCTTTGAGACACCACTGACTTCCTGAGGAAACTACAATCCATCGGTGATCTTCCTGGAAACACAATCCTGGCCACTATGGATGTAGAAGCCCTCTTCATCAACATTCCACACAAAGATGGACTACAAGCCATCAGGAACAGTATCTCTGATTATGTCACGGCAAACCTGGTGGCTGAACTTTGTGACTTTGTCCTCACCCACAACTGTTTCACATTTTGGGACAATGTATACCTTCAAGTCAGCGGCACTGCTATGGGTAACCGCATGACCCCACAGTATGCCAACATTTTTATGGCTGACTTAGAACAACGCTTCCTCAGCTCTCGTCCCTTAATGCCCCTCTACTTACGCTACATTGATGACATCTTCATCATCTGGACCCATGGAAAAGAAGCCCTTGAGGAATTCCATCATGATTTCAACAATTTCCATCCCACCATCAACCTCAGCCTGGACCAGTCCACACATGAGATCCACTTCCTGGACACTATAGTGCTAATAAGCGATGGCCACATAAACGCCACCCTATACCGGAAACCTACTGACCGCTATACTTACCTATATGCCTCCAGGTTTCATCCAGACCACACCACACGATCCATTGTCTACAGCCAAGCTCTAAGATACAACCGCATTTGCTCCAACCCCTCAGACAGAGACAAACACCTACAAGATCTCTATCAAGCATTCTTAAAACTACAGTACCCACCTGCTGAAGTGAAAAAACAGATTGACAGAGCCAGAAGAGTACCCAGAAGTCACCTACTCCAGGACAGGCCCAACAAAGAAAGTAACAGAACGCCACTAGCCGTCACTTTCAGCCCCCAACTAAAACCTCTCCAGCACATTGTCAAGGATCTACAACCTATCCTGAAGGACGATCCCTCGCTCTCACAGGTCTTGGGAGACGGGCCAGTCCTCGCTTACAGACAGCCACCCAACATGAAGCAAATACTCACCAGCAACCACACACCACACAACAAAAACACTAACCAAAGAACCTATCCTTGCAACAGACCCTGTTGCCAACTCTGTCCACATATCTATTCAAGGGACACCATCATAGGACCTAATCACATCAGCCACACCATAAGAGGCTCGTTCACCTGCCATATATGCCATCATGTGCCAGCAATGCCATGTACATTGTCCGGTTTGGCCAATCTCTACGCAAAAGAATAAATGGACATAAATCAGACATCAAGAATTATAACATTCAGAAACCAGTCAGAGAACACTTCAACCTCCCTGGTCACTCAATTTCAGACCTAAAAGTCGCAATTCTCCAACAAAAAAACTTCAAAAACAGACTCCAACGAGAGACTGCAGAATTGGAATTAATTTGCAAACTGGACACCATTAAATTAGGCTTGAATAGAGACTGGGAGGGGATGGGTCATTACACAAAGTAAAAACTATTTCCCCATGCTAATTTTTTCCCCTACTGTTACTCACACCTTCTTGTCAACTGTTGGAAATGGGCCATCCTGATTATCACTACAAAAGGTTTTTTTTCTCCTGCTGATAAATAGCCCACCTTAATTGATTGGTCTCATTACAGTTGGTATGGCAACACCCATTTTTTCATGTTCTCAGTGTATATATATTTTCCTACTGTATTTTCCACTGCATGCATCCGATGAAGTGGGTTTTAGCCCACAAAAGCTTATGCCCAAATAAGTTTGTTAGTCTCTAAGGTGCCACAAGTACGCCTCGGTTTTTTTACTTGTTAAAAGAAACTCCATGTGGTATAAACTAGTTCATGAGTTCTCACCGTCGGGGGTCACAAACAAGGCTGGGGGAGCGAGGGAAGAGTTATGGCCATACTCTCTCTCTTTATGGATAGATGGCAGTTTGGGAACCCAGTGCTATTTCTATTGTAACATGGGGTCATGGTATTGAAAAGGTTGTGATACACTAGTTAATTACTATAGCTATTTTAATACATTGAGCTGGTATTTGTAAAATTAGCATTTATTTCCACAATAACCTGTATCTTCATTTGATTTTAATTGCTTTTATAAATAGTAATGTTAAGGGGTTTTCCCTTTCCACTTTAATTGGGTGACAAATTCTGAACAGTTTGTCTCTTAGAGCAGGTAGCTGATTGTCAGTCCCTCTAAGTTCTGTTGCTGGGGTCTGGTTCCTCCCAGATCTGTCACTGATTTGCTTTGTGACCTTAGGCAAATCATCAAACTTCTGTGCCTGATCTGTGAACTGCCTGTGTCTTCACCATCTATCAAATGGTAGTATTTACATTTTTCAGTGGGGAGGCGGGGTGTGGTCAGAAGCTTTTTTCTTTTTTGCTTACACTGAAACAATGGTACAGCCACCCTTGGATCCCTGATGCTGATTCCCGATCAGAAGTAGGAAAACTTAAGTCAAAGTAAAATAAATTCATCTTAATCACAGTTCTGTGCACCATTCATGGCTGTTTAACAGCACAGTTTCCCCCCTGAACTTGCTTTGTTGCCACGGATTGTATGTAACACAGATTCCACCAGAGGGCTCCAAAGCAGCAGAACCTCCATGGAGGGCATTTCATTGAACATTCTGGTAGCTAAAGCAGAGATGTATGAGGCAATTTCCAAAGCACCTTTACTGAGCAGTTGGTTATTGTTTTAATGTGCATGTGCTCAGAGCACTGAATTCAATGCAGTTTTTAAATATCTAAATAAACAGAATCAAATAAAGTCGGTTACGATGGCCCACCTAAATCTAGGATGGAGAATTGCCACTAATTATAGAACTTTGAAATCCTTGGAGAAAATGGCACCATATGAGGGCAAAAGTGTAAGGTGTGAGAATAAATAAATTGTGGCCAAATGCATACCGATAAAAACCTTTATTATGATTTATTATTTGTATGCAGTGCACACAAAGCTAGTCCCTTCCATGCGGGGTTTCAGTCTAGAACAGTGGTTTTCAATCTGTGGTCTGCGGACCCCTATGTCTAAGATTTCCAAAGGGTCTGCACCTCCATTTGAAATTGTTTAGGGGTCTGCAAATGAAAAAAGGTTGAAAACCACTGGTCTAGAGAGGAGAGAGAGCTGTAGAAGACAAGACAACTGCAAAACCCAGAAATGGGGATAGCTTTGCGTGAGGCTTTTTGTTTTGTTTTAAATGAAAACTCTCCCTCCATTTGGACATTGCAGAAGTGAGTTTTTAAAGGGAACATGAATGAATAGAGGATGGTTTGGGAAGGGCATTCCATACATAGGAGCAGCACAGAAATGGGAAAA